ACAGAAATGCTTTTAGAAAGTAGTGGGTTCATTGATACCAACAAAATGGTTGGTATCAATAAACTGGGGATACGTTAGTTTCAGTTGTTGGGTTCAAATGAACCTTTCAAATACTAAAAAAGTCCTTTTGCATAATCGAATCCTTTTGCATAAAGAATTTCATCTGAGAATAATTTTTCTACTTAAAAATGAGTTTTGCAGTACTTTTTAAATACTACTTGTATTTTTATTTTCGAAAATTTTCATAAATATTGTAATTAATTATTTCCAATTTTAATAACTCGCAGAAAAAACACAATTTTCAAGAAATTTTTTTATTATGGTTATTCAAACTTATACTAATATACAGCATCTTTTATATTCCTTATACATTTGACACTGCATGCTTCAACCTGCATGTAAGTTTCTCTTCCTTAGTAACTCCTGACCCAGAGACGTCTCAATGAAAGCCAAATCATGCACAAAATTTTCACCTGAAAAGAAAAAAAAAAAGAAAATGATAAAATATTTTTAACACCATATTCTCGACCCCCCCCCAAAAAAAAAAAGAAATTGCAAGAAATACAAATTTCTAACAGAAAAATGCATTTTCAAGCAGCTGAAATTGTTTCACAAATTAATAATGCAGATAGCAAATGTAACATATGGCACTATTGCCACTCAGTGCAATCTCTGCATATCCTAAATTCTGCTGGCTGATGTCTTCGTAAGTTCTGAACATTTTTTTGCCTCTAAATTTTGCTGCTCAGTGCCCTCTGCTAAATTATAAAATTTTGACTACCACTGGTTGCACAGGCCCTGATCAAAGCAAAGAGGCAAGATGCTACCTGCTATTGATAAACTGCCTTATAAATACCACAAATCTAAATAAATATCAGTTTTATTTCCAAAACAGAATTATCTCACAGCTAAAGCATTGCCTTTGCAGAAAATCTTCTAAATGGAAATAGAATTGCATCCACATTACATGTGCAGAATCCCAATAATTCATTATAAACAGTTCCAAACCATAGTTAGGCTTAGAACTCACAACAGTATTCTTCTTGGAAGTCTTCCTAAGGAAATGGTAGTATATTCAGGGAACATGTGGGCAAAATCATGACAGTATATCACAAGCCTAATTCTTGACCATACATACTAGAAAGATCACAGAAATTCCTCACAGGAAGCTAGATTCATATAACAAAATTTCATGCAACATATGGCATATGGGAAAAAGCAAGGACATTATAATCACTAGCATAGTTTATACCCAAATGAGTTGCAGATGGTGCACTATGTGCTCACAGCTGATTATCACTAATGCAGATATATATTTACTAATATTTAGAAGATGATGAAGTATAGCAAAATATACAAAACATTAGTCCTTAAATCCAACACATTTTCTGATTTTCATACCATCTAGAATAATAGATTTGACGTTAGGTACAATATCAGAATTTTGGGTACATGAAATGTGAAATGGTTTTTATTTTTTAGTCACTGTTTCTAGTAATTTGTTCGAAAGTAAACAAATAAGCTGGTTTCAGTCTGTCAATGAAATGTTAACTTGTCTGTCCTTAATTAAGACTCGGAAATATTTATCATATTTTTTCACCACAAAAAAATGGTCCCTCAATAAGCAAATTCAAGTGCCTTTTTCACACGATCAGTTCTCACAAACACATGAGAACATGATCTCAAGTCTTTATGCATAAATATTTTATGTTTGTTAGCAGTTGATAAACTGGTGCTGATCCATAAAAGACAGTAAATTTGTTACAAATGGTTCAGGTTTAGTTTTAGTGGTAGGTAGTCGAAAAACTCACATGGTAACCTTATTTGCATAAAATATACCATTTGAGCTACAGAGTGATTAGTATCAGGACATATTGCAACTCTGAATCCTAGAAGGATTTCTGTCCATCTGATGTTGCTGTGAGCCTTTATTGCATTTTTTTAAGTTCTGAGAAACTGCTCAATTTTCCCACTGCAATGTGGGTGGTATGGAGTGGAACGTAAAAAAACTTTAGCACCACATACTTTTGCAAGGCTCTTGAAAGGCTGCGACTCAAACTGTCTTCCTTGATCTGAGATTATGGAACTAGGCACAACAAATCTGCTAATCCAATGATTGTAAAATGCTTTGACAACCATTTCTCTTGTGATATCTGGTAAAGAAACTACTTCTCCCTAACAGGAAAAATGGTCAATAAATGTCAGATAATACGTCCTACCAGCAGATGGTGGTAATGGCCCAATCAGGTCAACTTGCACAATACTTAATCTAGCATGAGGTGCTTGGAACTCGGCTATTTTAGATTTTGTATGCCTGTTGACTTTGCTCCTTTGACAATTAACAGGACTTTCCTACCAGTCGCTTGGGCGAGCCCGTCGCAGCGGGACATTACCCAGCGAACCTGGGGGAAAACCCCCGGGCTACTAGTACCATGCCGCGCTAGGACGTGCCAGACTCCGAGGCCGGCCAATAAGTGACCTTTCCCAGAGCCTTCAGAACCACTAAGTTCATAAATTTTATTACCCCGTGGCCGAGACTGCCTAGATACAGATCCTAGCCAGTAGCTTCGCAGAGTTCTCTACGTCAACCCCGGGGGGGGGAATGTCAGGCTGGGTACTGGCATTTCTATTTCCATCAGCTTTTTTGCAGCATCAAAAACCTTCATTCTCATGTTAGCAGACACTTTCCTTACTCTTTCTGGCTGGTGACAAATAGTTTTATTTCTTCTTGGCTCATTGCCGGAATCTGAACTTCCGCCGATCGGCTTATAGCAGCTATCATCATTTAAATTTTCTTGCCTGTCGGGGTCACCAGATTTTATGACTTTCATCATCCCCAGGTTGCTGTTCAATGCTATCCGCTTGCTTTGAAGAGTTTGGAAACTTTCATCTCTGGATGCTCATTTTTGCTTCTGCAGGAAATCGTTATGAGCAAGCATTTTAAGGTGTTTGAAGAAATCAAGGTCACATTCTTCAGCAGCAGTGAGAGGAACCACTACTTTCGAATATATATTCCAAGTTTGTGATCTCAGAAACAATAAACTGGAAAAAAAATTGCTCATTAATAATGCAGAAATCAGTAAAAAATTCAATAAAACCATATGGCACGCTAGGCCTTCCTACAGTGCTCCTAACTGAAGTTGGCGCACCAAACTACTATAGCAGTATCAGGCGAAACACAAAGCGAGGGGAACTAGCAACTTAACGCTCACTGTCTCGGAGTCCTCTCCGCAAACGATATCTATACCCTCTTAAGCAATGTCCTTGCCTTATAAAGCACATGTTGTAGCATACAGGAAAGTCCCTCATGTCCAATAGAATTCCTGTAAATCCAACGTATCTTTTTGCTTTATAAAGCACATGTTGTAGCATACAGGAAATACCCAATGTCCAATAGAATTCCTGTAAATAAAACGTGTCTTTTTACTCAGTACAATTGTAATTTCACTTTCGATGCCAAGTTATTAATTTCCAATACTTTCAAAAATTTCTAAAGCCTATCAGAATACACAATGTAAATAATTGTATTGGAGATCTTTCTTTGTGGAGCTTTTCCTTGGAGAACTGGAGTTATACTGAAATTACTGATGAATGAAAACCAAAAATATTTCATTGCAGACAATGTTTACATTGAAAAGTATAACACTTGGTGCAGAAAATGCTCACAACAAGTTAGCAGCAGCTATAAATGAAAGCACACAGGAATATTTGGAAGCATAACTGGATGAGGAAACATTCGGAAAGAGATATCTTCTGCAATGGGAATGAGCACAGGATATGTAATCTTCAAAAGTTGATTACTGAAATAAGGCAGAGTTCATCAGATACATTTTTTTACAGAAACAGTGACTTTGTGGAGGTCATTACAGAAATGTGGTTATACTTAAATTACTGATGAATAAAACCAAAATACTTCATTGTAGGCACTGTTTACTCTGAGAAAAACATGGTGCAGAAAATGTTCAAGTTAGCAGCTACGGGAAAAGCACACAGGAATATTTAGAAGCAGAAGTGGATGACAAAACATTTGGAAATGAGATCAATTTAATTTTCTGCAATGGCAGTGCAGCACTGGAGATGCTCTCTTCAAACATTGATTACTGAATTATGGTACAGTTATCAGACACATTTTTCTACAGAAGCAGTGACTTTGTGGAGGTCTTTCTTGGAGAAATGGAGTTATACTGGAATTACAGAAGAATGAAACCAAAATACTTCACTGCAGGCATTGTTTTACATTGTGAAGTATAACACGTGGTGAAGAAAATGTTCACATGTTAGCAGCTATGGAGAAAGCACACAGGAATATTTAGAAGCAGAAGTGGATGTGGAAACATTCGGAAAAGAGATCAATTTAATTTTCAGCAATCGCGTGCAGCACTGGAGATGCTCTCTTCAAACATTGATTACTGAATTATGGTACAGTTATCAGACACATTTTTCTACAGAAGCAGTGACTTTGTGGAGGTCTTCCTTGGAGAAATGGAGTTATACTGGAATTACAGAAGAATGAAACCAAAATACTTCACTGCAGGCATTGTTTTACATTGTGAAGTATAACACGTAGTGCAGAAAATGTTCAAATGTTAGCAGCTATGGAGAAAGCACACAGGAATATTTAGAAGCAGAAGTGGACGTGGAAACATTCGGAAACGAGATCAGTTTAATTTTCAGCAATCGCACTGCAGCACAGGAGATGCTATCTTCAAAAATTGATTACTGAATTAGGGCAGAGTTCATCAGACATATATTTATTTCTTGTATTCAAATTAAGTATATGTAGATGTACATCACTTAATGGCTATCACTGTTTACAAGCAGGTGTATACAGTATGGTGGAGAAAATGTTCACAAAAAGTTAGCAGCTGCACAGAAAATATACAGGAATGTTTAGAGAACAAGCATATCAGGCCACATGAGTACTAGAACAAATTCAGAAAAGAAAAGATTTTCATTTTCTGCAACGGTAGGGCAAAAGAAACGATGCTATCTTTAATAATTAGTGGCAGTGCAGCACAGGAGATTATCTTCAAAAAATGACTGCTGAATTATGGCAGAGTTTATCAGACTTGTTTTGCTTTCTACAGAGGCAGTGACTTTATGGAGGTTTTCTTTACAGACATGTGGTTATTCAGAAGTTACTGATGATTGAAACCGAAAAACATCATTACAGGTATTGTTTACATAGCGAAGTATAATATGTGGCGCAGAAAATGTTCACAAGTTAGCAGCTATGGATCAAAGCACACAAGAATACTTAGAAACAGAAGTGGATTCGGAAACGAGATGACTTTAATTTGCTGCAATAGCAGTGCAGCACAGAAGATGTAATCTTCAAAAATTGATTACTGAATTGTCAGAATTCATCAGGCTTATTTTTCTACAGAAGCAGTGACTTTGTGGAGGTTTTCCTTGGAGAAATGGACTTATATTGGAGTTACACATGATTCAAACCAAAATACTTCTTTACCGCAATTATTTAAGTTCAGAGGTATAACATGTTGTGCAGAAAATATTCTCAACAAGTTATCAGCTATGGATCAAAGCACACAAGAATACTTAGAAACAGAAGTGCATGAGGAAACATTCAGAAAAGAGATGACTTTAATTTTTTCCAATGTTAGTGCAGCACAGGTGATGCTATTTTAAAAAATTATTTATTGAATTATGACAGAGGTCATCAAACTTATTTTCTTTTTCACAGAAACTGTGACTTTATGGAAGTCTTCTTTGCATAAATGTAGTTTTACCAAAGTTACTGATGATTAAAACCAAAATATATGATTGCACGCATTATTTACACTGCAAAATATAACATGTGGTGCAGAAAATGTTCACAACAAGTTAGCAGCTATAAATGAAAGCACACAGGAATATTTAGAATGAGAAGTGGATGATGAAACATTCAGAAAAGAGATGCAATGGCAGTGCAGCACAGGAGATTCTAGCTTCAAGTATTGATTACAGAATTATGGCAGAATTGATCAGACGTATCTATTACTGAAAGCAGAGACTTTTTGAACATATTTTTTTAGAGAAATGGGGTAATATTCTAATTAGGTATGGATTTAATCATAATGCTTTGTTGCAGGCATAGTTTTTATTCAGACGTAGAAAATGTTACGGTGTGCTGGCTTGGCTTGTTACTGATTACAAATCAAAAATAATTTTTGGTTTCCTGATTCTTTTCTCTCCTGCATTCTTTCTAGGAGATGAAATAATTTTATCTGCTTCTGAAATTTCAATTTCTCTTTTTTCTTGTGTTTGTTTTACAGAAGCAGTGGCCTGTTTTTGTTTCTCATTCTGTGCTCTAGCATCAACAATATACTTCGGTTCTCTAAGAGACATTTTTCTTGGTGCTCTTGGATCAACAAGCTCAGGAAGAATACAATTCACGTAAAATTTTTCGAGTTTTGGAACTAAACTGATCCAGAAAGTTTTGTCTTCGGGTATTCTTAATGTGATTGCATCTTCTCTGCACCATATATATAAATCACACCAATTCCTCTCTGTTATGGCTAACTGCCCTTGAATTTGAAAATAATATTTGTGGCTTTTCGGTAAATAAAGATTATTATCAGCATCCATCCGAAGACCAACAGAATTAGGCTTGCTGAAAAAGTCTGACAAGTCTGCTGAGAATCTGGCTGTATAAGGACATTTTATTTCAAGTAATCCATCTTCGTCTATCAATCCATCTGGCGAAGTACAAAGAAAGGGATATTTAGGATCAATAAAAAGGCCACAACGTCTGATGTTTTTTCCCATGTGCTTTTCCTTGTATTGATTTAAGGCTACTGCTTCGTTAGCCAAGCCATACTTTAATGCTTTAGTTGAAACGTTATCATTATATATGATACGTTTCACTAAAGCAGCACTGAGTGTTGTTGGACGCCTATCAGCAACATCTTTGAAAAAGGATGATGATATTCTTCTTGATCTTTCGTGACGCCATCTTTCAGATGATGACTGTCCACGTGTTACGGCCTCAAGAGAATCTTTTTTTGGAACTTCAATTGATATAAAAAAATTTTTAGCTGCCAATTCATATGCTTCATCTGATAGGTCTGGTTTCTCAGGAAAATCACCATAAGAAATATCCCCACCTTGCTGAATATGTCCTGCTTTCCTCATATTTCTCTTTTTCTTCTCAGTGTCAAAAAGTCTACGTCTCTCAAGACGTTTTACATGGCGCTTATTTCTGGAAGCTAAGAATTTCAAAGTTGGAGTCCTGGGGCTACTTCCTGTTACAGCTTTTTGTGCATTTTTTTGCCACTGCTGTGCTGGATTTTGATAGGCCATGACAGCAATACTCGCACGCCTGTTCATGCCACCAGCTTTGGAAAAATCAACTCTTTTTCCACCAGATGTTTTACACAGTTGACTCATGAAGCTTTCAGCAGGATTATTTGTGGCATTCCAAATAAGAGTACTGCTACACGATATCAGTACTCTTCCCACTTCTGCTTCAATAGCTTGCAACATACCCGAGGAAAAAATTTCATTGTATGTGCTGTCCAACTCTGCACCTTTCTTTGCACAAAAAGCACTACAAGCATCATGCTTGCCAAATACATGATGTGGCCCATTTCTCAAGTCAGATACTAATGCATCAATAGCTTCTTGTGTGTGCTGATAATGGCTAGGTAAAGCATGAGCTTTTATAGCTACTCTAGCACCTCTGACTAACAGTGGCATTTTAATTTTCAGCAATTTACGGGCAGCAATTCCTTTAGCCCCGGGGAAGCGCGCAGTATTTTGCTGAAGTTTCTCAAGAGCTCTGCGATATCTTCGAACAGCATGGTTAGCACATTCTACTTTGATCACCCGTCCTCCATATGAAACGCTTTCTTTCACTTTGGCCATTGTGTTAGCATCTCCATCTCCAACAAGTCGAGTACAACGTATTTTGTGAACACACTGGAGATAATTCAGACCTTCCACAATGGCACTGCTTTCCATACCTGTAGAAGGCCCATTCCAATTTCGCCAACAAAGGTGCACTTTATTTGGCATCTTGCCATCTTCAATAGCACTGCATATAAGGCACACTTTGTTGCGAATTCCAACAAACAAAATTTTCTGGGTGACCATGCCTATAATAACAGATATGCCACTTGAAGCATTGTAACCATGCCCATAGCTTCTTTTACACCAACCTCCATCAACAATGACAGTTATACAGTGATAACCATCATTATCTTTATCATTGCGAAGTTCTGCCTGCCTTTTCTCCTCTTCTATAGCAGCACACATAGTTTCCTGTGCACATCCCTGTATTATTTTGCCAGTAGTTCGCTCACAAGAAGCAAAGGTCGAGTTGCTCATATACGGAATTTCCATGATGCTAAACTTTTCCTCCTCTTGTGAAAATCCACTGCCAGTAGATAACGCACCTAATACTGCAAGCTGATTTAGGCTGCTTTTCTCCATATCAGAACAAATTGTTGCCATTTCCCCACATAAAATTTTATCACATACATAGTTATATGTAGTGACAAGACCACGTCGAATCACTTTGTTAAAAATAAATGATCCTCCAAATTTACAATTTAGGGAATGTTGCTCTAATGTCCTAGCCTGCACTATTACAAAAGACATATTGCAAATTGTTCTGCCAGATGGTAATGGATTTGCCTTTCGTCGATCTTCCCTTTCGATAATTAAAGGTGAATCAGGACACAGAAATTCATCATTAAGGTTCTCCTGAAGAGGCTCAGACTCCAAGCTAAAATATATATATATACAATATATATATATACATATATATATTAATATATATAAATATTACAAATTAGGTTTAAATTTGGCTTATTTGATGACAGCAAAGCACTTGATCTTCCTAAGAGGAGGAATGCTTTCATGGAGGACTTTCTAAGGGAAATGGCTCATATACACGGGGAAAAAAACCATGAAAACGCCCATGCAGGCAGCCCATTCGCAATTAGGTTTAGGAAATTTAGGCAACAGATAGCAAATAAATTAACAATAATAATACACTGGATTACCAGTATATTACTACAAGAAGATGAGTCATCTTCACAACTGCTGCTTCCATGCTCGCAGTGTCATTTGCTCGTGCAATATTAGTCACTACTTTGTGTGCCGGAGGTTTCACATGAAGGGCCTCTACACCTGAGTATAAAATGTTCGTGTTCCAGTAAACACTGAATTCAGAGGGGCAAGAATAACTCTTTCATGGTGGATAACTCAGTTACCAAATGGCTTTCTAAGGCTCTATTCAAGCCGTTGTATAAATGTCATAATTCCCAACTAACAACGCTTTGTAGTCAGACCTTGCTATGTCACAAAAACTAGTTTGGGCATTAAGCTTGAAGTTTTCAACTTTGTGCCGACTTGATATAAGAGTCGGCCAATCAGAGCATATACATAAAACCTATTGAGAGAGAAAGCTGTAGACACATACATGCATGCACAAATTTAGCTTCTCTAATTGGCTATGGCTTAGACCCTCTCTCGCAGGTGTGAATGGAACTCCCACATTTTGTGCCTTATGATTATGCGTCTATGACATTTATACCATCATGTGAACGGAGCCTTAGGATGGCATACTAAGAAGATGCACTGTCTTGTGGGGATAAGCAATTTATACTCCTAAGCCTAAAAAAAAAACTTGGAAAAAAAAAAAAAAGATCACGACTTAAATTTGTTGTCTAATTGCTCTAATTTGAGGCACATTATGAGAGGAAAGCAAAGGTAGTAGTAATCAGAATTATTTAAAAAATTTTATCCTTATATTTTTCTTAAAAATTCTGTAAAATAATAAAATTTGTGGTTTTCCTCAAATAAATATATATGGAAAAAAATAACAGCCACATAATCACAGATTTCATTTTGTTATATTTTATTAACAAAATTTAAATTATTAAAAATCTCTTTCATGAAGGGAACATAAAACATCATGAAAACAATGAAAAAGAAGCAATATTTAAAAAAGATAGTAGGCTTATTGATGAGGCTCCCATCAAAAGAATCAAACCCCAAAATATTTTCATTTGCTTCAGTGTCCCGTCTGAAAATTTCACTGATTTCAATGAATATATTTTTAAAAAAAATCTTTTATTTTCAAGTTCTTTCATGCAAAACGTCCAAATTTGGTACAAATCAAATTCATCCCCCTCTTTTTGATAGCTACAATATTATATTTAACAGTTTTAATAGCTATCAGTATGTAAACAACATAATGTAACACCATAAAAGAAAAACATAAATGATGACATTTTAATTTTGGCATAGAGAAATACATATTTACCCCAAAAGAGAGCTTGTATTTCTACCTTCTACGTCAGAGTCAATAACTGAAATGTCCAGATCAGAACTGAGAAGAAAAGAACCATAATTAGTTTAATTAAGATACAATAACACACCGACCAAGTATTAATTTGAGAGTCAAGCAACAAAAATCAGCATCATATTTTGAAATATTCACTATTTGAAAATATAACGCTGATTTTGGTTGCTTGACTTCTAAATTAATACATAATTAGTTAACCATAATTAAGTAACTGTAATATCATGCACAGCTAATATCTATTTTAAAAATAAACCAACTTACCTCAGGAAAGCCTGGTTTGTCTTAGGAACATTAGCTGTAACTTCTGGCGTAGAAAAGTCAAATTTTTCACTTCCGGACCTAAGAATGAAAGAAATAAACTGCTATAACATAATTAAAAAAAAAAAAAAAAAAAAAAAAATGAATAAATAAATAACACATAACAAATTTAAGCATTAAGCTATGTATGACTACCACCCATCTCAGACAGTGCGACAGATATTGCTGTATACTGTTTCGCCATACCCTGTGTAGCTATTATATCATGCTGTATAACCACAGTTTAGAAAAATTACAAAATGTGTTATTTATATCTATCTAAAATGGTACATTACTACATGATTTGTAAGAATAAATTAGAGGGCTCTGCGAATGAAATTCCTTCCAATTAAAAAATGTAGGAATAAAGAAAATGCAGGAATTGCAAATGCAGAAATGAAAAAGGGGATTATATTTTTTGTACAGAATCCAGATGACATATTTTTCAACATTTTAGAAATTTCAATATTAATTTTAGGGGCATAAAATATTAGGCCCCTAAAAGCAGAATATAGTTTTTAAATGTTCAGATAATCTTCCTATGAGAAGAATTCCTTTGAGAAGTACACATCTGAACCACAATTAAAAAACATGTACAAGAACAGAGCTGAGGACTTCTGTTTGCAGAAAGTCTGTCACATAACATATGAAAAGTTTCTTATTGGTAGATTTTTGATCAGACAGATATTTTATTGTTATACAGAGAAAGCATTCACTCCCTTTATACTGGAGATAATTCAATTTGGACAATGGCAAAAAGGCTAAGCAAGCCTGAGCGTATTGGTCCCATTCTTGGCACTAGTTTGGTTTACGCTCAAAATACACAGCAGATATTTTCTAATTACCTGCATCCCAATATCAATTCAATTCAGCTTTTGGTGGAATTTACCATTTGTGACATATTTTTCAAAAACTACACTTCACAACATGCATACATGACAAATACACAGAACCATAAATAAACAAGCAATAATATATATTTATATATAAATTTTACTAAATGATCATAAAATGTTCCAACGCTAAAAGAAAGTTTTAACATCCAAGTAAATGACATAATAAAAAAAAGCAAGTTGAACAGCGAGCACATGAATAAATGTGCATACACCTGTTAAAAATATACCATAGGTAACTGACAAAGCATTTCGTAGCAAACATATGACTATAAAATTTCCAATAATACATGTAATGATGGTGAATTCAATTTAGATCGCAAGAACATGCTCATACTTTTGAAAAGATTCAATTATTTCAGCAATTCCTTGTGAATTGGAATTTACCCTTTCAATATTTCCCAACAATTTAGTGTGAATGGAGGAATAAATTCTTATAACAGAATTGAACAATTATTAGCATCCCCTCATACACACACATACAAAAAAAAAAAAAAAAAAAAAAAAAAAAAAAAAAAAAAAAAAACTTACTTTGTAAAAAAAATCATCCGGGCAATGATTCTCCTTTGACACAGATGCAGTTGTATCAATAATTTCTGACCTTCAATAAAAAAAATACGCATATTTTACTTCGGAATTAACTTACTACGAAATCATAAACACGGGGTAGTCGATATAAAGAATAAATTATTTCTCACCTTTCGAAAACATCCGCTTGTTCGGAATCTTCCACATCTCGGGAATTTAATTTCATATTTTTTTCTTGAGCTCGACGTTTACGCTGAATTCTGGATCTTTTATTAAAACCAGGATGTTTTTTCGGTCGTCCTTGATATTTTCGCATATTTTTTGCAAACTGACCACAGTACAAATAAATGTAAACAAAACGAGAGTGCGGAATAGCAATGCAATAGGGTTGCCGTAAACGTCATTCTGCTGACAGCTGACAATGTTTAGTGAAAACTGTGTATAAAGGAATATATGAAACGCTTCTAAATATTATTTAGAAAAAAATATGATTTATAACTGATATCAAAATCAATTACTTCGTGAATTTTTGCAGAAATAAGATTACAATGTTAAATTTTAACTCGTAGCGCCATCTATTGATGGCTTTCCAAACTACACATTAAAATTACGTATTTCAAACTAATTTTTTTAAAATATAATATTTAAGTAAATTTCATTTCAAACCTGATTCTAACATTGTGATTCGAAAACTGACCTATTGCTTTATATTTCTGCCAAATTGCACGCAACATAGTTTCTTAATTAGCGATTCTGCGTGTAAAAAAATTTTTAGTATTGTAATGCTGCTGTAGTAGACCACCTTTAATTTGTTAAATGCAAATTGGATTATAATATACATTTTGTATCTTCCAGTATAAGTAAAAAACTAAACATGTATTGCTATTCAGTAACATTGGAGATATATTGCCAACACAGCATGCTGCTAATTATTTGTATTTTCTGCTGTCTTTATTATCCTTACATGTACTAAAAGTATTATTTTCAATGTAGTAAGTCGCAGACATGGCAGACAATTGTTTCAACATATTGTTTCAAATTACTAAATATATAACTTTTTTAAGTACCGTATATACCCGCGTATAAGTCGACCCCCCACTTCGACATAAAAAATTCGTAGAAAATAAGAAACCTGCGTATAAGTCGACCCTCCACTTCTGAAATTGATCGAGAAACTTCGAAAATTTTTATTTAAGTACTACGTTTATTCAAAATCATTTGAGAAAAAGTAAATATACGATAAAAAATACCTTGGTAAATAAACAAAGTCAAAATCCTTCAACGTCCGATTCATGGTCAGATTCGCCAAACATTTCATAGAACTCTCCTGTCGTCATTGGCTCGTCATCATACATATTTTCAGTCTTGAACTCTGTATTGTTACGAAAGGTGTTTGGAACATCGTACTTTTCTTCTTTTGCAAGCTTCATTGCTCGTAAACGTATGCCAGTTCTAGTGACAATGAAACCATTCTGCCGGCACTCTAAAACCCAAGCATACAAGTCATTTTCGAGTTCTGGAAAAGGAGCTTTTCCATGTCGACGCCTTTTTCGATTTCGGATTTTTTGTAACTTTACTTTATTCTTGCGCCAATCGCGAATCAATTTTTCGTCAACCCCAAACTGACGAGAAGCAGCACAGTTATTAGTCTCTTCCGCGAAAGAAATAACTTTTAACTTAAATCCAGCAGCGTATGACTGACGTTCTGTTTAACTACCAATAAATCAGACCATATCAACAGAAACAAGAAGTTAAACAAAAACGTACTGACAAGAGCGAGTAAGATTTAACAGTGGGGCACGTGATTCTATCAAAGAATCCGTCGAATCTGGACGTTAAACCGAAGAGTTTTCTGCCCCCGAACAACCGATCAGCATCCAGCAGGCAAAAGCGTCGCCAACATATCCAAAACGCAGGATAATTGGGGAAAAATTATCGTATATAGTAACCTTCTACAATTTATTCTGGAAAAGATTCGCATACGTAAAATCTATCTGCATATTTAAACCTTTTTAAAAGTTAAAAGAAATATTCAAAACTGTTCAGTTATTGCGTGGGCTATTTTTTTAAATTTTGACGTGTACGCCTGTTAACAAAAGTATTTCATGAATGAACAATAACTATTATAAAGACTTATACGTACGTAAAAACTATCTGCATTTCTCTTTTCTTGGCGTGTTGGCGAAACTTTTTTATTGCTCGATATTGATCGGTTGTTCGTTGGGCCGAAAATTCTTTGGTTTAATCGAAACTTACTCTAGTTAAAGTATGAAACTCTGTGATTAGTTCGTCACATAATTTAAGTCATGAAATTACTTCAAGTAAATGACTTACTTGATAAGTCGTCCAATTTGAGTGCGAGAAGAAGAGAACTGCATTATATAAAGACATTTTTGAACTTCCGATTCTTTTAATTTTTTATGGCCCCGCGTATAAGTCGACCCCCCCCCCACTTTGAAGTCTTTTTTTTGTCCAAAATATCTCGACTTATACGAGGGTATATACGGTATTTATTTTTAAAGCATGTTATAACTTATCTGTTTCAAGTTGGATTGATTAGTTTAAAAATAAATCTGTTATGGTGTGAGCCAAATTTAAAGGGTCAAATAACCATGTGTGGCTCATGAGCCACAATTTTATCTGTGTGCTCTCTAGCATTCCCATATGGGATAAGCAAAAGGAAGCCAACCTTAATATATATGTTCAACATCTAGAAGACTGACAGCCAGAACTGCAGATCGGGAGAATGACATACAAAGCTCATCAGCACTTATAACATATATAAAATTAGCACATTTTTGATTAAATATCTATAAAGGATTATCCTAGACTGTTAAATAGATTGAAATAAAGGTAAAATCATCATGAAAAACAATAAAAATTTAGATGTCTGTGTTGCAATAAAAAACTTCTGACCTCTCTTCCATATATTTGGATGTCATATTAACAAAATAACCAGTTTCAAGTGAAACTACTAATGGTAACTATTGTTGTACTGTAACCATAGACAAATTCAACAGAAAAAAAAAATGATTAAGAGATCAGAGAAAGTGGAAGAACAAAACAAGACTCAGTTAAAAGTCTCAGTTCATGAAGTAGGTAAGCTGTCTCTCCCTCCCCCCCCAAAAAAAAACTCCAACAGAATTCTCAAGAGCATTTGTTAATTTTTGCTTTTTGTCAGAAGTTCCATTTATCAGAAAGACCTTAACATGAAGAATGCTGTGATGTGTAGTTCAGGAATCTGATTTGTGTTATTGATTTGTTGAAAATCATTTTAAAGCAATAATATAAAAAGGAAAAGAAATTTTTTTACGAGTTTTGTTTCTTAGTTCTCCAAGCAATTTGTTATAGTTGAAAATGGGTAATCTTGTGAGAATATGGAATCACATTTTATTCTTGAGTATATGATCAATCCAGTATCCAACTCTCTGCAATCCAGGCTGTGTAGTTCATACGAGGATTAGCGAAAGAGAGATTTTTTTATAAAAGTTGATGGCATATTCTTTGCTCTTAAGATGCTGGGAAATTTTTATTTAAAACAAAACATTGTTTAGTCTGTGTTGTATTCAGTGCCAAAGTATTTTGGATGTTTTATATCAAATATCTTCTATCAATTGTAAATACATTTTTGGGGAAGTACAGTAAGTTTGAAAAAAAAAAAAATTAGAGCATCTTTTTCATCACGCCATTACTTCCCCCCCCCTGAGAACATTTTCAGTCAAAATTTTAAATGGCAAGACAATAAATAATATTCATAAAAACTTCACTAATGACAGCAGGTTTCAATCTGAAAACTCTGAAACATTATTGAATAACTTAAAACTAAATCCTTGTATATGAAATTTTTATAATCCTCTTTGTGCTATTCCTTTAAAATAGTTTTCATAGTTAAGTGCTCTGTCAAAATAATAATAAAAAGGCTGAAAAAATTAGTAATATTGTAAAAAAGGACATTCCTGATGGGATTTGAATTAGACTCAGTTTCCCATACCGATGCATTAAACCACAGCAACATTAAGACTTTCTACCAAAGATGGAAATTTTGTTTACCTTCAGGGTTTTAGCTTTGATTTTCTTGCTTACATCTGAAAATTGCAGACTATGACAAACATATTCACACTAAGGTACTGTATATGGAATTTTAGGTATAGCTGACAAAGAAGAAAAATTATAAAAGCTTCAGCAACAGAAAGTTAAAATTGTTGATTTTACTGGTAATTTATCCTTATTTAAAAACATGAAAAATCCAAATTATAGAAGTTTTGCATGTAATGATTCAAAATTTGATGTAAAGAGACCTTTCACTTTAAAAAAAGATTTTTCAGTATGAATTGTAATTCTTTTAATCTTTGTAGGAAACATCTGTAGAATCATTGCGAGAGCTTACATCTAAATATTTGTTATCCCATAAAGAAGAATATAATCCATTCCTTACTGATGCTGAAACAGGTGATGTGATGTCAGAAGGTGAGAATGACCCTTTAACTTTCTAAATTCTTCTACTTCGGTAAACAATTATTGATACATCTTTTTAAATTCATATAAAACTGAGGAGGTCAAAACTTGCATTCTGAAAGTGTATGGTTATGCAGATGAATTTTAATGCTGAGAATTCTCTCATTCAGCCAAAAATGTGTTTTGTGCAAAACACATACTGCACAGCTCACTTTGACACTCAGATCAATGTAAGTACAGCAATTTCTAGCTCCAAAACAAGTGCATGCACTCAGCCATCCCCACTATTCTCTTGATTTCTCATGTTTTAATTATTTTCTGTTCCTAAACAGAAAACCGCCTTTCCATAGAAGTTCTCCCAGTTCTTGATATTGGAGAAATGCAAAGAACTGTAACATCCACTCTTAGAGCCACACAAAAAAGACCACTAATCTCTCATTTTGTTACTTGATTGTGTCACTGCTTTCATTAATGCAAAAGGATCATATATCAAGCAAATATGTACCATTATAAGTGTTGTAGTTTTCCCACTTTTCTCCTCTCTTTTCTTTCTCATACATTTTTATTATTTATTTCCTTTATTGGGTATAGAAAACTACGTTTAGCTCATCATTTTATTTTTGTAAGGATAAAAAAAATCAACGTTTTGGGGGTATTAGTTTTAAAAATTATATGTTAATTATATCTCATACATTGAAGTTTCCCATCAGGGGCTCACTTACTGTGAGTACAGGTGTGGCAATCCTGAGGTACCCTAGCCCTTCAGGGGATCATCTTCTTGATGAGACAGGTGTCATGATCCTGGACCCCAAGTGATTTTTACTCTTTTCCATCTCCTTTCATCTGAGCTCAAACTTTATTCCTTTCCTTCTCCCTAGTGGTTTTCCTCTTCGGAGGTTGGGGCTCGTCACAAGAAACTGGAACAGTCTTTGTCTGTACCTTTTGAGTGGCGAGAAAACTGCCCACTTTGACGTGCGTGGAGACTCGTGTTGCTGGAAATTAGGGTCTTGGTAGTTGAGGGGCGAGGTGCTATCCCCAACACAATGCTTTGGCCTCTGCTTCAGCTAAACAGGAGGCATCTTGTCATCCTCGCGTGTGTCAATAGGCTGGTCACTAGTCCTTGTGTCAGTGGCTTGGAAATAAGCTCTTGGAAGTACCTGCTTTCGGGAAAGGCGACTGTGGGGCTTCAGTTTGCATATAGTCTGGCTAGCCCTAACATAGGATTCTGTGTTCCCTTGTTGGGCTCCGTGGTGGGTGGGGTGTTCGGACCCGAATTTTTCCTATTTTAATCATAGCTTCTGTATTTCTCATTGAATCAGATGAAAACGACCGAAGTATTGAGGTTATTGATAAATCTCTTAGTAAGAAAATTCATACAGATACAAATGCCAAGGAAACTACTGAGAATCCGTGCTTCCTTGTTGTCTCAAGTCCCTCTGGTGAACTGCAAAAAATGTCCCGTTTCCTGGTAAACAAATATATCTGTTCATGCATAGGTGAGCCAAGGAACATAAAGCGGCTCCGTTCAAATCTGCTTATTGATAGTGTGTCGGCCACCCAGTCTGCTTCTCTTTCATGACAAACCAAACTTGGACAGGTATTTATAACTGTGTCAGCGCACAAAACACTTAATTCCTGTAGAGATGTGATCTCGGAAATCGACCTTCTGTTTGTTTCAGAAGAGATCATTTCTGAGCTTGCGGATCAAAATGTCTGGGGTGCTAGGCGGATGAAGATGCGAAAGGAAGGCCAGTTGATTGACACTAAACACATGATCCTGACCTTCATATCACCTGATCTGCCGAAGAATATAAAGGCTGGGTATCTTAACTGTCCCATAAAACCATATATTCCCAACCCAATGTGATGCTTCCAATGCCAGCGGTTTGGTCACTCTAACCATGTCTTGGCGATGACAAGAAGCCTTAGATTTTGGTTTTTGTTTGCTGTTTTTTGTAGGCTTGTTTTTGGATGTTTTTGAGTTACTATTTCTTTTTTCTGGATTGTGTGAAGTGGGTCTTTCTTGCTTTTATTATTAATTGGAAGCTCTTGGTTTCTTGGCAAGAAGTGACAAGAAGCCAAGGCATGACTAAGACTTCTTGTCATGGCAACCTCACATGCACCAGATGATCGATGGTTAGTCATGATAGTAATAAATACATCCCTGCGCCATCATGTGTAAATTGCAAGGATGAACACCCACCATTTTCTTCCTCTTATCCTAAATGGAAATCTGAAAAGGAAGTTGAGGCAACAAAAATAACAAGAAATGTGTCTTATGCTGAAGCCAGGAAAATAGTAGAAAGCTCACACTTGCACCCAAATTTACCTTTTGCCGATGCTGTTAAGTCCATGAGATCAGTTGCCCATCTAAACAACTTTCTTTTCATCAGCAAAAAGCCAAGAGCTTCCAATTAATAATAAAAGCAAGAAAGACCCACTTCACACAATCCAGGGGAAAAAAAAAAAAAACTCAAAAACATCCAAATACAAGCCTACAAAAAACAGCTAACAAAAATCAAAATCTGAGCAATCAATTGCAGATTTTATCTCTAGCACTCCATATTCAGATAATATGGAAGTAGAAGAGGGAATGGAAATCTCAAAACACCTCCTTCCTTGAAAGACGAAAAAGCAGCACCAGAAAAATAAACATGAAACATAATGGCCACCCTTATTTCTTGGAATTGTCGCTGTTTCCATCAACATCTTGAAAACATCAAAGACTTGATCAATTTGCATCATCCTGTGGTTTTGGCATTGCAGGAAACTCTCCTGAAACCAGAAAAGACAAACTAAACTTAGAAGGTTCTCAATTTTTAGGAAAGACAATCTTATTGGTGCACGTGGCCAATGGAGATGTAAGTCTCCTCACCTCACTAGATTACCCAAGCAATTCACTTCCTTTAACTACAAGCCTTCAAGCTGTTGCCATCTAAATAAATATAAGGATCTTGGTTTCAGTTCATTCTGTTTATTTGCCACCAAATGTTCACATTGATCAAAGGGAATTGGATAGTCTAATAAAGCAACTGCCTGAACCTTTTGTCATAATAGGCGACTTTAACGGCCACAGTTTGCTTTGGGGGAACAAGGATACTAATCCTCAAGCTAGGTATATAATGTATAGATTTCATACTGCTGATACTAAACATAGCATTTATTTTCCACTACTGCCTATGAGGCAGTATTGTTATTAGGATCTACATTATACAGCGAATATACCTAAAAATTAAAAAATGTGGTTTGAAATTTTAGGTGTGTGGTATACACTGGTACTCTATTATATACTGGAATGTTAAGTAATTCTGGAATAAAAGTATGAGATATATAAATAAGGACCGTTTTATTATCTTGATGTGAATTATATGGTTTGGGAGTATTTTGATGTATAACTTAAACCATTAGTATGGAAATATGCATGCATGCATACACAAACACATGCACACCCTCCTCCATCCTTCTCTCAAATGTATATGAAAAGTTATTTTATACATTCTTTATGCATGAACAATGGTATACTGCAGTAGCATATCTGAATATTTATATATTTAAGTATTTTAGGAATGGTGTTTTCCAATTTTATTTTCAGAACAATATTTAAAGTATTGTGAAGACATAGTTAAGACATCGTCATGGGGTGGACATGTTGAAGTAAGTTTATTGTATGTTAAAAAATATTTATTAACTGTCGTTTGCATATTCTAAACATATACAGTTGCTCACCAAAGTGTACATTTACAACTTTCAATGAAATATTGCTTTATTCATTAATAAAAAGTACTATTTGCGAATGAGAATTTTTTTAAAACACATTAGTTATTTTATGAACATAGTAAAAGTTTTTTTTAAACCAATAATCAAAAAATAACAGAAATGTTACCTCACAAAAGACATTGTACACTTAAAATTTTTTTACACTTTGCACACATATACACTCACTTCCAAAAGTTAAGCAGAGGAAAATGCTAATTTCCAGAAGACAATCAGAATTGAAGAGGATGCAATTCGCTGCAGAGGTAGATGCAAGTATGCAAATATGTTAGGTAACAGCCAATCATGCTTTCATGTCTAGAAATATGTAAAAAAGGCAGTCTTATAAGAAGCCAGCTTTATGAAGGGTTACAGAAGTTGATTGTAAGTGCTGATAGAAGGTGTTTAAGACTTTCGTACAATTTGTTTCCAAGACGTATGTGTTTCTATGACTAAAAGACGAATGGAAGATTCTGAGCGCGTGCTGTGGGGCACATTGAAGCAGGACAGTCGATCACAGATGTTGCTCTTTTCTTCGGCGCTCATCATTCTGTAAGTTCACGTTTATGGAAGCAATTCCAAACCACACAGATAGTTGTCCAAAGACCCGTAGCCGGTCGCCCAAGGGTTACAACCCGTGCGGAAGATCGATATATTGCTATTGTAGCCAAGTGGAATCCCAGAGCGACCTCCACATGTGTGACATCTATGGTTACAGCGTGCATTGGTAAGGCGATATCTGCAGCTACTGTACGCCAAAGATTACATATGAGTGGACTGTACGCCCGGGTACCTTGAGTTTGTGTTCCTCTATCTGTCCAATCATGAGGGGCATGATTACAGTGGTGCCGGGAACATGTCAATTGGAAGGTGTCTGACTGGCGCAATATCATGTTCCCTGATGAAGTCAAGATTTGCTCTGGAGCCAGATGACAAGCATATAAGGATATGGTCATAAAAAACGAACACGCAATCAGTCCAAAAACATCACAGAACATCATGCATTCTGAGGCAGAAGCATTATGGTGTGGGGCAGGGATTTCATTAGGATACTACAGCAAACTGCTGCACATCTTTAAACTGGGTTCTTTGACGGGTGTCCGGTATCGAGTCCTAGAACCCATTGTGAGATTGTATGCTGCAGCAGTTGGCCCTACATTTGTTTTAATGGACGATAACGCACGTCCCCATAGAGCTCATATCGTCGATGACTACCTGGAGAGTGAAGGGATTGCACGTATGGTGTGGCCAGCATATTTGCCCGACTTTAATCCCATTGAAAATCTTTGGGATGCTCCTGGCCGTGCTGTATCTTCACATTTCCCACCATCAGCCACTCTTATTGAGCAGGAAACTGCTCTACAAGAAGAATGGCGATTGCTTAACCCCTTCGCGCCGACTGTCACGTCTACATGCCAGCAATGAACACACTCACTTCCCGGCCGACAGAGCATTTTCAAGTTCACTACCGACTGTCACGTATTTGTGCCAATGTCCTGGAACGTTTAGTAAACTATAATTTCTGCCACAAGATGGCACTGTATGTCCATATGGTTTCAGATACATGTACATTAGACCTTCTACTTGAAAAGAGAGAAGCATGACTCACATACACATGTTTTTGATTATATAAACAAAAGGGGAAATAAATGTTTCCGAATGGCGTGATTTATGACGTCTCTTTGAATCGCACTTTATTTGCACGTGGTAGTTGTTTATTGCAAGTAGAGAAGTTTTATTTGCGCTAAAGCATTGGGTATTTCGGTTTGCAGTTCAGTTTTTAGAAAATAATTAGATCTTGTTAGACGGGAATTCTTTCTGTTTTTGCCGTTGAAATGTCGAAGCGTCGAAAATGTTTAACAGAGCATGAAATAGCAGAAATGATGCAAAATATTTCAGATATTGATTCTGAAATTCTGATATTCTGATATTGATTCTGAAAGATTAACTGAAAGACATTTTCCAAAACGTTGTTCAGAAGAGACTGATAATCTCCAAAATGGCAAATGAGTTATTACGAGTGCAAGGAATGTAATGTATGACTGTGTGTAGATCCCTGTTTTCAAATTTTTCATACGAAAAGAGAATTTTAAGTAATATATTTAGTTTTCAAATGTATAATGTTAAAAGTCATAAAATGGTGAGTAATGAAAATAAAATGTGTAAAGTATGCATTTAAACAACAAATAAGGTAATTAAAGTATATAGTATAAAAATACCTATAAAGCATAAGCCGTTTAAATACTCTATAGAGCATTATTAAACAGTGCATTGATACTTCGGAAATTTCATGGATTTAGGCTTAGTTGCAAAAAAGCCCCCAGCCCTGGACAGACGCTCGCGTAAGACACTGCCGGCCTTCGCAATAAGCGCACGTTTGCGCTACCCGGCTCGAAGGGGTTAATTCTGCGGTGGTTGACCACCTATTTGAAAGCATGGTCACAAGGTGTAAACATTGTATACAGATGAGCGGGATTACATACCCTATTAATGTCGTTTTTTTTAAATTTTATTTTGTTTATTTTCACTTTATACTGTTTAAGTCTCCAGTATGTCGTTATCTGATAACTTACAAAAATTTAATATTATTTTCATTTCTGTATATAATTATTGACTTTGTTTTATGCATAAATATATATGCTACATTCCTGTCGAATTTTGTGTTAATCAAAGCAGTATTTGTTGATTTTTTTGCAGTGGGATATATTGCAGTATTTATGATAGCTTTCAAAGGTCTGGGCATAGAGTTCACCAGATATTTTTTTAAGGCCATATCTGCATTGATGTTCTTCCATACTTCCATCATTCCTGTTTTTAGTTTATTTTTCGTTTTTATGTCATCTCTTTGTACTCTAATCTCTAATTCTCTCCAAATGCATTCTATCGGATTTTAACCTAGTGAGTGAGTAGTTTTTTTAGAAATTATGGACAATTATAGACATACCAAAGATGAACGTTGAGGGCCTTGTGCTTAGGAGCCTTCTTCTAATAAAAAATAAAGTTGTTTCCAGTACCCAAATTTTAGGTCAATAATTTAAAATTATCTTTTAAAATATGTAAGTAAAGAAGATGTTTCATGATACTGTCAATAGATGCTAAATTACCTATTCCTGATTCTGACATTCACCCCACACACAATGACACCTCTGCCGCCATGCGTTACTGTTCCAACCAAGTTCTTGAGATGGAGTTCCTCATTTTTTCTTCATATAGTTGTATGCCTATAGGAACCAAAAATGTTAAATTTGCTTTCATCTGCAAATAAGATATGGTTCCAATATATTTCGGGCTAATTTACTATTGATTTAGCAAAGGAAAGAATAAGCTTTCTGCTTTTTGCACTTGCAAAAAATTTTCTCTGAGCAGAGCACCCATGTAATCCAGCTGATATGAGTACTCGTTGAACAATTTCAGGTGAAATTGAAGAAGAAAAATGTTCAGTAAATTCTGTAGAAATTTTCACAGCACTCAAATGTGGAGCTTTCACTAATTTTCTAGCTGTAAAATTCTGTCACGTTCAGTTAGCTTTGCATTTTCAATCTGGTTTTCATCTTTAAAGCATTTTATAACATGCTGCACTGTAGAATGGGATAAAATTGCTAATTTACCGATATCCTGGCTCAATATTCCACCCTTATGATAAAAAATGATCAATTTTCGAATGAAATTTGTTATTTCCTTATGACTATGACCTATTTTTAAATATTAAATAAAATATAATGAAGTAAGCAAGCAAAGAAATTTTAGTGAGCGAATTTTTCAATGGCATCAAAATGCAAAAAGTCAAAAAATTGTGGCTGATGATAATTTTATTTATGAAATTTTACAAAAATCTGTGACATGTTTTATCTGTGTCACATTTTTCAGTTTTAGAAAAAGAAAATATGTCAGTCTTTAAAAAATTTATTTTTTTTTCAAAATCGCATGGACATAATATGAAAAAATATTGGGCTTAATATTTGAATTCAGTTCTGGGCTGCAGTGCTTTTTCTACAAGTTCTTAAAGTGTACAGTCACTTTTGGGAGCCACTGTATCTTCATATGTATGCTGTAAAGCAGCCCTCTTTAAGTTAGGATAGAGAATAAGTAGTGGCCGAGTACTTAAAACATGGAATACTGAGATTTAAATCTGGGTTTAATTGCAGGGAAATGGGTTGGCTGCATGGCATTTTTTAGAGGTGTTTATCTCCTTTGTAATATGAGTACAAGCCAGTTTCCGTTAGGAAGTCCTCTGCAGGGCAAACCTTTCCGTAGGCAGATAGACCTCGTGTGCTTTTCTAGATTTGAATAATCTAACCTGAAGAGAGTTAATGCATTAAAAATAATAATAAAAAAATGAGTTAATCGCTTTCATGAATGTGGTGTGTATTATAAGCTATATGGAATTTATTAATGCAGTGGTTATTACTCATGCTAACATTACAGTATCATTATAATGGTTATTACTGTTGGTAACATTATTCACTGCCTAGCAATATTTCACTATTTTTGTTAATGAATGGCAGCTTCCTATCTGCACCTGTAAGATGGAACCTCGCAAAGATAAAGCATTTTTATTTCAGACAGCAAATTAGTTTTGGGTATGCCCATAGCACTTACAGCACTAAATTTCTTTCTAATTTTTTCTTTTAGGGTAATTAAATGCACTTGAGAAAAGAAGATACCAATGTAAACAGAAGTAGAGACCAGCAGTGGAATTTTATTTTTGCAACTGTTGGTTGTAGGCATATACTTCCAGTTACAAAAGTGTTCTAAATAGTGCAAATATTCATATTTTCATATTTTTTAAGTTAAACAATAAATTATGTATAAAATGCAAAATCTAACTTTTTACGCATTCCTTTAGTCCTTGCTTTTATTTAGGAAAATCTGGTAATTATTATACAGAATAAAACACGAAAAGTTTAAACTCATCTGTGATAAAAATTGATTGAGATTTTTTGATATAAAAAAAAACGAGAATCATATTTTATTGGCCATACACAAATTGAAGAGCAAAATGTCTGCATTTGTGTACAACTAAAAATAAAATATTATTTAGAAGTATATCTGGTATTTAGAGAGTACGTGAAGCACTTCTATGCAAGTTATGCAATTTATTGTTAAAAATATTTATCATTTTTTTTCTTATAATGGAGATCTTATCCACAGAATTTTATGGAATTCATATTCTAGAAAACATTGACAGTCATGGTCATATTAGCTATCTTGTAATAAATATTATTTGCATTAATTACAAATTAAAAAGATTTAAACTTTAATGAATTTTTTGTACGATTGCCAGAATATAATTGAAGGGCTTGCAGCAAGAAAGGTCCAGCTCCACATTTTAAAATTTTTTGAAAATTCATTTTATAACTTATGTTCTAAATGTTTGTTCTCATTAAAAGTGCTGGTAAAAATGATTTTTTAGGGATACTGCAATGCCTTTTGACTCCAATGCGAAGAATGGTTATTTATTATTTTTTTAAGAAAAAAGACCAAGGAACACAAAATCTACCAAAGAAGCTGGTCCCCTCTTGTTGCAAGCCCTTCAATTCTAAAGTAATAAAATTTTATGAGAATATTAATAACACATTTTTAGACTTTGAAACCGTACAAATTATTTGTGTGAAAACCATAAAACTATTAATAAAATACAATAGTAAAGCACGAAACAATATTATTGAATGACATTTGAGGGGGAATAAACTTAAATATATTCTAATACATTTACTAATTGACCCTTCTGCAAAAACGGAATATGATGTCAAAATTTGCTGATTTTGAAAAGGCTCAATTTTTGTCATATGTGAGTCAAATTTTTTGTTTTTTTATGATGAATTCAACACACGGAATAAAATATACTACCAGCATTCATGTGATTCGAGAAAGTGAACATTTAGTGTATTTAATCCCCCCCTCACAAAAAAAAACTGTTTTGGTAGCAACAGGAATTCCGGTCTTTATTTTCACAATATAAAACAAAAAGGTAAAGTTACACACATTGCCACTTGCAAACTCAACAACAAACCTCTAAGAAAAGAAAATTGTTAAAACTTAAGATGTGATATCCTCCCACCTTAAGTTGTTGGGAAGCAACTTAACCCAGAGAGATATTAAAGTTTTTATAAGTTCAGTTTCTGGGTAGCCTGTATTGTATTGTTTTACTACTTTTAGTTGTAAGCATCTTCATAATTGGGTTGTAAGTCTTCATAATTGTAAGCATCTTCATAATTGGGATAACACATAATAATCCTGGTGGACTACTTGGTCCACCAGGATTTTCTTCATTCACATCTTCAATTCCTCCATTTCTCAAAGGCTTTTCAAAGGCTGCTGAAATTTTGTCCTTTAATGTAAGATAAAAGCAATAAAACACAACATTTTGTTTCAGGGACTAGAACATAGAACTTCAAGGAATGGAATGCACTTCTTGAACTTCAAGGTGTGAAACCTAGTTCTTCACAGATCATATAACATCAGGGAATAAAGCATAGAACTTCAGAAATAAAACAAAGCTCTTCATACAACATAGGATTTCAGGAAACAGAACACAATTCTTCATAAAGTGTTGAATGTTAGAGAATAAAAACATATTCATGGAACATAGACCACCAAGATGTAGAGCATAGTTTTCCGTAGAATGTAGAACTTCACGGAATGAAATATAGTTCATCACAGAACTTAGAACTTCATTTAGTAGAGCATAGAAAGAAAATATGCACAGAAAGAAAGAAATATCTTTATAGAAAGAAACAACTCTTCATAAAACACAGAACTTCATTTAATGGAGCATACTTCTTCATGGAACATAAAGCTTCAAAGCATAGAACATAGCTCTTCATAGAATGTCAAAACATAGATTATACCTCTTCAGAAAACACAGAACTTCATTTAATAGATTATAATTCTTCATAGAATGTAAAACTTCAAAATATAGAACTCAGCTCTTCGGACAGCACAGAACTTCATTTAATTCTTAAATCCTTTTCATGAAAATCTTCAGCAATTTGATACTCTTTTTGAAATTCACTTTGTGTTAACACTGTTAAAATATCGTGAGTGAGTTTGCTGCAAACATTCTCGTTTCAAATAAAAACATTTAATTCAATTTCAAGCACACAAATATCTACATCATGTTCAATACTCAGTTTTTATAATTTATTTAAGTATTACGACAGGGAATAACATTTGGTACCCACATTCTTGTGATTCGGGAAAATGAACATTTGTGTATTTAATCAAAAGAAAAACAAGCTGTTTATAGCAAAAGAAATTCAATTTTATTCTTTTCACAACACAAGTAAAAGTAAGAGTTACACATGTTGCTGCTCGCAAACTCAGTTAAAAGCCACTATAAAAAGAAAATCATTAAAATATGGAGTTAGTTAAAACTTTAGATATGATGGTAAGCTGTAGTAAAAGCAGAACATGGAGAACATGAGTCTTCTCAAAAGACATTCCATCTCTAAAAATAAAAATGAAGTAGGCTTATTTTTGCAATACTTTTGGATTTCAAATTATTTACATTGTTCCACCTAGTGTATCATTAAAAATTTGTTCACATGAATGCTATGAGCATTTGTGCAATTTGAGAAAGTGAACATTTAATGTATTTAATCCAAAGAAAAACAACAGTGTTTACATCAAAAGGAATTTCAATCTTTTATTTTCACAGCATAAAACAAAAAGTTAAAATTACACCCATTGCCACTCATGAACTTGGTAAAAAAAACTACCAGGAAAAGAAAACCATTAAAACATAGAGTTTGTTAAAACTTTTGATGTGACAATAAGTATAGGTACCGAAGGAATGTATAAAAAGTTAGGTTTTGTAATACTTACAAATTTGATCTCTAAATTTAAGAATGCCGAAACATGAATCAGCAGAATTTCTTTATCTTAAGGTTACAAAAAAATTCTGTAGAGGCATTTTAAATGAGTGAAGATTCCTTCTAGAATGCTAGCTGATAAGAGGTGAAAGTACAACTTCTGTCCCATCTTTTAAAGTTTCTACCTTCAAAAGTTAGATAAATTGTATAGATTTTGCTTGGGATTGATAAATTATGTTCACAGAGGTATAAGAAAGTTTGTGAAATGCTTCTGAGCATTATTGTATATTAAGAGTCTTTGAATGGGAAAGAAGTGGTAACTGTAGATTAAAGAAAAAGCAAGGAAAGCATTGAGTATGCTTGTAATCATAGAGTAGGAGATTGACTAAATAGGTAGAGGGCAGTCTTTCTGCTGACTAAAAATGTTAATTTTAAAATTTGCATAAATCACTGGAAGCAACATTTTAAAAAAATTCTTGTGTCCTTAACTTGTTGAAGTGCTATGCAGAAAGACTTAAGAAAGGGATAAATTGTTAAAAGATTTTAATATTCTTGGTAACTGCAATCAGAGAAAAACTATACATAAACTGGGAATTTCTCAAACAGCACTGCACAATTTACTTAAAAAAGAGATAATAATTAAGAGCTAATAAAAATGCAAATGTCTCTAAGAAGTGCAAAAGAGGCAGAAAATCAAGCAGCTTTAAAATTTCTTATTTGGAATGGTTTCAAGCTACAAACCGATAATTTCTAAAGCTTTTCTTTCACTAATTTGCTAAATGCTAGGAGAGGATTTTGCATTTACTGACACATGGCTCAAAAATTGGAGAGAGAGAAATCCAACATTATCCATCAGAATTTGCATGGTGAGCAGAAAGAAGAGGATCATAGCTGATCATGTAGCTGAGAACTGGGTAAAATCATTATAGAAATTTAAAATTTGTTTAAAATATTTTTTATTTTGTTAATAAAAAGTTTCCATTTTGTTAAAAAGCAATCTGGCTCATCAGCTGTTTTCAGATCTAGCATTTGGCTGCATGCAGTTTGAGTTTGAAACCATGGCTTTATATATGACAAGCTGATATGAAACAAATTTTATGGTATAAAATTTTAAATCAAAACACTTTAAATGTTGCAGATGCATTGTAGGTAAGTTATAAATAATAAATGTACCTCAAAAGGTCTAGGTTAGATTTTTGAATGACTATTAATTAGACATATATTTGATCTAAATATGATAGTTTCTTAAATATTGGATGTTGAAAAGTTTAATTTTGCTTATATTTGTATTTCACATGTATTTTGGGAAAAGAGGGTATTTTTTTCCATGATCAAAATGAGTTGACGGTCATGTTGCATTGTGTATGTCCCTTGTAAGATGAAAATTAAATTACCATTTGTGAGAAACTTGGATACTAAAAATTTGGCATCATCAGATTAACTTTTAGTATTTTATGGAATTCCCCCCACTTTTATGTTTATAATAGCTTAGTTTTATTTATGGGATAAAAGTTTAATGTTCTAATTTTTTTATAGATACAGGCTTTATCTAATATTTGTGGGAAACCAATAGAAGTTATCCAAGCTGAAGGTCCTAGTGTAATTGCAGGTGATGAACATGACAGCCCTAGATTAATAATCAGGTGACTATTGTGTATTAATGCATACAAAAGAACGTTTAATTTTTTATTGTGTTTACTTTCATTTCTTAGTATGCATATTTTGTATGCTTATCTACATTATGTTAATGATGAAACAACTTACTAATGGGATCAGAAGTGTTGAGGCAGTTAGCAGGTGATAGTTTTAAGACTTATTTAAGGCAGTAATCTATTCAAATTAATTAAGATTTTATTTTGAGATGTATGTACTTCTCCATCCATATACAAATATTAATCTATACTCTATGCCAATGGTTCCCAACCGTTTACATGTCCCTAAATAAGAGTTTTGTATGAAGAGTACCCCTAATTTCCTTATATGGTCTTGCCATCATACAATATTCGTGCAATGTAGCTTACCACTGTATTATTTTAATACTGTGTAATTACTGAATTGCAATGGATAAGGTGAGAAAGGGTAGTGAAATGAAGATTAATTATTACATTATTTGTTTCAAATAAAATGAGTGATAACACATATTTTAACCAAAACACAATGTAATCAGTCTATTGTAATTATTTTAAATGCCAGTTTTTCTGAAATAGAAATGGAAAAAAAAAAAAAAATCAGTGAATGGAGGAATTTGTGGTGTTGCTATGGAAATGACACAACCAAACAACATGAAATGCTATTTTGCTATGGAAACAGCATGCAGACTTTCAGTTAAAATAATTATCAGAACTGCAGTTGTATGTATCAGTTTTAATATTAGGAAGTGACTGTCATATGTTAGCAGTTCATATAAAATTTACAAAAGAGAATATGAAACCTTTGTTCACAGAGTGGCGAAATGACGCAGCATTTGAGTTTTCTCGTAGAAACATCATCATGTTATGTTTAATAAAGTGCATATTTTTGTAAATGTGGCTTTATCTTACTATGAAACCTCCACATTGATGACTGATGCTGAATGAGTGCATCTTTCTGATCCTTTCGTGGGATTTGGACAGAATATGAAACCAGAACTATATGTCATATAAAATGGATGAAAATACCTCCTTTCATTCCTTCTGATCCATCTCTGTGGTTCGCGATGGTGGAATCTACTTTCAGGTTTCCAAAGGCTATAACAGAGTCCAGAACCAAGTAGAGTCACTGTGCATCAAACCTACCTCCGGACATCGCTATGACCATGAGGGATATCATCATTTCTTCTGATAAATTGGATCCATGTGGGAAACCGAAAAATGAAGTCATTGCTCACTGTGGTGAAAGCAAATCACAGGAAATACGTCTGTTACTTGCCGGTGAACAACTAGGAATCTGAAAGCTGTCTGAACTCTTACATGTTACGAAGTAATGTGTGGCAGACTCACACATGTTACGAACTCTTACATGTTACGAAGTAATGTGTGTAAATCATAATGTGGCAGACACTCTTGTTTTGGAATTATTTCTGCAGCAACTACCTACGAAAGTGCAGTCCATTTTAGTATCAGTCATCCCTCTAACTATAAAAAAAGGCTGCTGAAATGGATATAAAATAATGGAAGTGTCACATGCTCAGGTAAGCATAGTTTCTGATTCCTGTGTATCATTTAGTGTTACACCGAACTCTGAACTGCTTAAAGAGATAAAATTACTTCGCAAGGAAGTTACATTTCTGTGATGTTTGACAAGTCATTCTCGTAATTGTAATTTTTGTCATGCTACAAATTGTGTGAAATTCTCTGAAAAAAGTGAATTATGTTGGCACCACCGAAAGCTTGTCTCTAAAGCAAAGAAGTGTACTCTACTGTGCAGTTTTTCAGGGAAATTTCCAAGGCAAGGAGTAGCGGCGACATATGCCTCACCTTTTAATTTTCGTCACCTATTTGTTCATGATTGCAAAACCAATATTTAACTTTTTAATCTGTATAAGTAGTGATTGTTCCTTAATTCCAGCCCTGAGATCTGATAAAATGACTACTATTCAAACTTTTCTAGCAGTAAATGGTACTGAGATAAATATATATAAACAAAAGTTATTATTTTATATGAGGGTTAAGAAAACAGTTTATCTTTTTAAGTGTGCAACGTTCAAAATACTATAATTGGTACAGATTTCCTACATTATTTTAACCTCCAACCAGATCTCAGAATCCACTGTTGAAATGATATTTTCACCAAATTAAATTTTCATGGTATTTTGCATGTTGCTAGTGCATATTCTGTAAAAATCTATATTTTGTAATAATAATTATTCAAAGTTGTTAAATGAATTGCCTCCTGTTGTTCAAGCTCCATGTGCAAACCAAATTGTCAAACATTCAGTTCAGCATCATATTGAAACTTTTGCCCCTTTTGTTTTTGCCAAACCACATTTGCTTGTACTTGATTATTTAAAATTTGCAAAAAATGGATTTTCAGCATATGTTTAGGGCACATTCTCCCATCCAACAACAATTGCTCTTCGCTACTGCACATGGTCCCTAAAAAAGATATGAATGATTGACGTCCTGTTGGTGATTTTAGAACCCTTAATGCTCAGACCAGAAAGGATAAGTATTCAATCCCTAGTACCGTACAAAGTCCGAAATCCGGACGTCCATTATCCAGAATGATCTAAAATCCGGACCTCAAAACCACCACCGTTTTTTCACGTAGGCTTTACACATGCACATTTGATTCCCCCTCCACACATAATAAAACATCTGGAGAGTCCCGATTATTAATTTCACTTTGACACTAAATAAAATACCTTGTTTCTGAAGAAACAATCATTTTAGCATAAATTTTTATGATCAGTAAGTTGGCTCCGTTGCTGCATATCTGCTTGACACATTTCTCAAACCGAAACATTCCACATTGATACATCGTTGGTCTGTGATAACCTGGCGAATCATTATTTATTATACTTTCCTTTCATCACCACATGTTTATCAAAATATGACAACTTGTACCAGCCCTCAATAAGGCTTAAGTATGTGGGAATTTATTTATTCCGAACTCTGATAAGCCTTAAGCATGTGCAAGAAGTAGACATAAGTATAATAAATAACTAAACTAAAACAATTGAGGCTTAATTGTCTCTGCATGATAGAAGCAAGATAAAATTTAATGGAACAACTTGTTAGTCGCTAAGCTCATGATGCATAGCCAAATATGTATAGTGAATGATAGCTAAATTTGATGATGATAGCCGCTAATTTTAAAGGTTTTCGGAAATTTTCCAATTAATGGATTTTGTAAAGAAATGTGGATAAGCGGTAATAAATGAAGATGATATAAAAGCAATTTTTCATTGTGATGACAATGCTTCTCAATCATCAATCAATTAATGAATGGTGAAATTTGTAGTATGGTTCTAGATCCATAAAATACCTCTACCTTTAGTGAAGAAAGTGACAAAGAATTTACTGAAAACGAGAAAATTTTGATTGACAAGTTAGTCGGAATTTTTGAAACAGCAGTTACAAGACTTCAACAATGTAACTGAACAAGAGATTATGTCTGTCTACAGAATTAAAAAGAAAGTATTATCACAAAAAATGAAGCAACTTAAATTGAAAGAAACGTTTAATAAAGTAAACAAATAAATATTAAGCTTTTTTTTTTTTTTTTGTAAATTTTGATATCCTTTAGATCATAAATACTATATTATTTCATAAATGATGATTTCATAATTTTATAATTTCTACATGCCATCTTACTAGATTTAAACTGATGATCTATTATCTGGAAAAATCCCAAATCTGGAATCGCCAAAGTCCCAACAAGTCTGGATTTCAGACTTTGTACTGTATTATTGATTTCACTAGTCAACTCCATGGGTGCAACATATTCTCCGATGTAGATTTAGTCACAACATTTCATCAAATTTCGATTGCTCCTAGTGATGTTCATAAAACTGTGTACACCATTTAGACTTTTCGAGAGCACTCATATGCAATTTGGTTTGTGCAATGCATCAAGCACTTTTCAGAATGTTTATCAATGAAGTGACGAGAGGTTTAAACAGTGTACATGCATTTATTGATGATATTTTGATTGCCTTAAGTGAAGAACATACTGAACATCTATAAGCGCCCTTTATAAGATTAGATCCCTTATGGTTTCGCAGTTGAACCCTTAGTGTGTACATTTGGAGTTCCTACCTTATATTTCTTAGGATTGAAAGTCTCTAATTAAGATATTTCTCCAATTCCAGATCGAGTTGATGCAATTTCAAAATTTCCTAGACCAGCAATGCCTAACACATCTTCACAGATTTCTTGACCTATTCAGTTTTTATTGCAGATTTGTGCCACATGCTGCACACATTCTGTCCCCTTTAATTAAGTTTCTTGAAGGTCATTCTAACAGAAAAGAAATCTTTCTGTTCAACTAAAAGGCTACATACGAAGCAATTTTTTTTAAATACATAATATTTTAATTAAACACACATGATTTTGAGTAAGATGGGATATAAAACTATGAATTTTAATGGGATTTTACAGAAATTTTCATTAATTTTTAAATGAAGGCAATATTTAGAAACGTTTTGTGAAAATTTTCATTTACGCCACATCTCCTATAATAGATTCTAATGAATATATTTCAATAATCCTTACACAGTATATAAATAACATAACTTATCTTTGTTCTACAGCAAAAAGATTTGCTGTACTTATAAAATTTTTTGAAATATTCCAACTTGGTACGAAAACTCAAAACAAACAAAAAAAAAAAAAAAAAAATTCCTCTTAAAAATACTATTAAAATAAATAAATAAGAGGTCAGATTTTGCTACAGAACATAGCTAAAGATGAGTAAAACATTTTGAGAAATGAATGTAATCGCAATCAAAGTAACAAAAAACACAGTTTCTCAGAAAATGCATTTAAAGATTTTAATACAGCATAAAATTTTTTTAGATACTTTAAACCTTTAAAGCTGACCACATTTATATGTTAGGCCCTGTTTTGCTTCATTTTTAACTAATTTTGACTTTCTTGTAGCTTTTTTCTGCATAAGTTTGTTGCTGGTAGAGATTGATGTTTCGATTTCTGAATTCGTTGTTTGTTTATTCCCATGTAGCTTTCAAAGATAATGGGATTAATTTCTATTTCTAGATACCCGAAAACAGGTAAAAGTCCTAAATATCCTGGATTAAATAATACAGTAATTTGTGCACCTAAAAGCAATGTTTTCAGTTGGACAAAAGTTTCTTTAAGTAAAAATAGTCCGCAAAAGGTTATTAAAACACTCATTATTGTTTTGAGTCTTCCAATGTAGGCATTTTATCAGCAAATTCTTTTCACACAGTGAAAGACATGTTGCTTTTACAGCTTTAATATTGTTTAATAATTAGAAAATAGCTAAGACACAATAATACGCCGAACAAATACTAATTCACAAGTCAAACAACAAAAATCAGCGTTATATTTTCAAAATTTCACAGGACTGGTTTTGATGGTTTTACCGAACCACCATCCTCAGCTGCAAAAGCTGGTTCATTTGCGCTTTTGCAGCTGAGTATGGTGGTTCGGTAAAATCATTAAAACTAGTCCTGTGAAAATTTGAAAATACAACGCTGTTTTTTGTTGTTTGACTTCTGAATTAGAAAATAGCTGTTTAAATGTATTGTTTGCATTTTTACGTCCCTTTAAATGCTAATTTCCGGCATCCAAAACTTCACTTTCGGTTTGTTATTTGTACTGTAACTTTGCTTCTAGTTATCATAAAAACAAAAATAAAGCATTTTTGGAAACCTAAATGTGTAGCCTATAAAATAAATAATAATAAAAAAAAATCGAAAATTTTCACCAAATGACGATTTTAGGGTAGGCACATACCTGAAGTCAGTCTTTGGACCAATGCATCTGATGTTGCTATTGTCAGCTCTCTTATGCAAATCCAAAATGGGTAATGGGAGCCGATAGCATTTCTTTCTTTAAAATTGAATAAAAGTCTATGGAAATGGTATACATATGACTGCGAACTTTTGGCAATATATGAATCTATCAGGAAATTTTGGCACACGTTAGAAGGTCACAACTTCGTTATATTTACCGACCAGAAACCACTAACATTTGTTTTCAGACAAAAAGCAGAAAAGCGCTGGCCTCGACAATTGAGACACCTAGATTATATATCTTAATTTTCCACTGATAACAATATTTTAAAAGGTAGGGAAAATGTTATTGCTGAGACACTCTCCTGAATAAAAGTAGATTCTGTTTCTCGCTCACCTATTCTGGATTTCGTTAGCCTCAGCACAACTCACAAACAATGAACTTCAACAACTGATAAATTCTAAATCTTTTTTTGAAGCTCTTAAACAGTATTTCCCTCATAAAGATATTTTATCTCTACTGTGACTCTACAACCGATGTTCCTCATTCTTTTATTCCCTTTTCATTTAGATCCATCATGTTCCAAAGTATTCACAACCTTTCCCATCCAAGTATATCTGCCACTTCAAAATTAATATACAAAAGTTGCATTTGGCCTAACATGGATACTTTTATCAAAAACTCCATGAAGACTTGTGAGGAATGTTAACATTCAAAAATATATGGGCATACAAAATCCCCCATTTCGACATTTTTACTTCCTGATGGCAGATTTTTCTTATATTCACATCAATTTATTGGCCCATTACCAATTTCTGAAGGTTATCAATATTGCTTAACCACGATGGACCGAAGTAATTGCTACATCTGATACATCAGCTGAAACAACTTGTAAAGCTCTAATTAGTGGATGGATAGATCATTTTGGATGCCCTTCTACTATCACTACCAGCTGGGTCACAACTTTGAATCACGTCTTTTCAGGGAGTTCATGCACCTGCTAAGCACTCATCCTATTCGTAACACTGCCTATAGGTCTCAAGCCAATGGAATCATTGAATGGTTCCTTCACCAGCTGAAAAATAACATAGAAGTGTGAGAAACCCTTGCTGGACAGAACTGTTACCTCTTATACTTTCAGCCATTCGATCTTCCATCAAAAATGATATCCAAGCAACTTGTTCTGAGTTAGTCTCTGGTATTACCTTAAGGCTACCTTCGGATATCTTGTGCTCAGATCAGCTTTCTTCACCATCCCCGACACCAACATGTGTCAATCGTTTATGATCTATAATGCAATCTGTGATTCCCATTGCAACATAAAAACACTGTTCAGAACCTGTCCACATTAATCCATCCATAAAATCATGTTCTCATGTTTATTTGAGAATTGACTCAGTTAAGCCTCTTAAACAACCATAGTCAGGTCCTCATCCTCTCATTTAGCGACGTGACAAAATTTTTATCATCCCAGTGCACGATAAGAATAAAACTATTTCAATTGATTGACCCAAACATGCATTTTTTATTAGTGATAAAACTTTAGTGCATAACACTAAACCTTCCAGTAAGATTGACACATTGAAGAATACCATGTCAACTATTCTGTAAACTATCCCAAAATCAGGACAGCATGTCAAATTCCCTCATAATTTGTCTACCACCTTCTACATATAACTTGTATAATTTCAGTTATATATACAGTAAGACCCCGCTTAACGCTGTTTCGTTTAGCGCTGTTTCAGTTTAGCGCTCTTTTATTTCAACTTGGGGATTCCACGAAATCGCTCGCAGCATACGGGGATTTCCCGAAATATTATGCAGCGATAGGTTTCAAATACATATCCGAAAGAGTGTACTTGTATTTCTGTTTGGTGCGGTATTGTACAGACATATTTGAAGGGGTAAATGTGGAGATGTCGAAGAAATAATTCAAGAAGCAGCGGTTAGTCTTTCTAATGATGAGCTCAAGGAATTAACTGAACAAGAAGAAAACAAAAATGTTGACAGCAGTGATTCAGAAGAAGAGCAAAAAGAACTTTCGATGGCGTTTGTAAAAAGAGTTTTTGTCTACCATAACTGAAATAATGGATCAATTCATTGAAAATCATCCGAATTTTGACAGGAGCTCAAAAGTAAGGCTGGTGTTAGAGATGCTCTATCCGTTTATGAAGAACTTTTAAGAGAACAACGCAAAGAAAAAGGCAAACAACATTAGATGCTTTTGTCACAAAAAGGCAGAACACTGAAAACGCGGAAGGCTATCTAAATATGACTGACTTAGAATTTTATTTGTTTTTTTTAAGAATATTTGTTTTGTTTATTTATATTTGTTTTATTTTTGCAAGAAATAATAATGTGGTACTAATTTGGGCTTTAAGAAAAAATTTTGGTTGTTTTTTTTACATACTTTTTTAATTTAATACCTAACCAATTTCCTAGCCATCTTCCCCTAACCCCAATATTTACATGTAAAGATAGCCTCGTTTAGCGCTGTTTCGCATTACGCTCTACTTTGATGGAACGTTTCCCCCGCGTTAAGCGGGGTCTTACTGTATTTTGTATTTTTCACTCTCCCTCACTGGGCGAAACTGTGGTGTTGCTATGGAAATGAAAGAACCAAATAAGATGAAATGCTATGTTGCTGTGGAAACAATGCATGAACATAAAGTTTAAGCATGAAGTTTTGCACAACAGTTCAGTTTTCTCATTGAAGTGTCATTATGTAATGTTTAGTAAAGTTTATATTTTTATAAGTGTGTCTTTTCCTTGTTATGAAACCTAAACAAATTTATTAACTTTTGATCTCATCGAGGTCTATATTCAAACTCTAAGCACACTTGAAATATTGATGTACTACAGTGAAATATGAAACCCATAATTACTTTAAAGTGAATTATTATATAACTTTGCATATACTAAATTTAAAACAAAAATTAAGACTTGATTTTGAAAGGTTCAGTACATTGGTGCTTTCATTTAATGTATATTGGAGGAAGAAATTTTTTTCATTCTCATTTATTGTTAACATTGCCAAGGGAATGACTTATGGTGACAACCCTCGCACCTTCTGTGCCAGTCATTTTGTAATATGCATGTATTTTATCAGCAGTTACAAAGTATATGGCAGTTAATGCTGCAGAGCAGCATTTGCCATTTGTATGAATTTGGGTTACACCAAATATCTGCATGCATCATTGCTAAAGACACTGCTATACATCATACTAATATAAAATGCTTTTTAATATGTCTTATTAAATAAATGGACTTTTGTGATTGTAAACATTTGTTCACCTTAAATTATAGAAAATAAGTAATTTACATATTTCTGATACTTGAAATAGTTGTTGAATATTTTATGCACAAATTAAGCAACTTTGGACATTAAATGATTAATTAGTACATTATTTATTTCAAATAAATTGAGTGATAGCAGCTATTTTAAACCAAAACATAATGTAACTAATCTACAGTAATTTACATTTGGTACTTTGATTATCAGCCACCTCATGGAATGTCACCAGTCTATTGGTGACTGAAATGACGAAAAACTGATGTTTGGTTTTCTTTATGGCTCACAGAAACTGTTCTGTTTATAAATAATAAGAAGATGCATTTTTTGAAAGAAAAAAGAACAAATCAAAATCTGTAATGTGGACATATTTAAATTTTTGCAGATATTGGGTACTGCTCAGTTAAATACAAAGTGCATCATAAATCCACATGTGCTGTAGTTTGCAGTATGTACATGCATGGATTGTCACACATACATTTCAAAATACATCAGAAACACGGCAAATCTGTTGAATTTTGAAACTGAAGCATGCAGATTACTGAAAAGAGCCCTACTTTATTTTTAAAGTAATCGTACATATGTGAAGTTTATGGCGTGTATAAATTGAAGACCAGTTATGAAAAGGAAATTGCTAGTATTGTAGAGTATGTGTATCTTTCATATAAAGAAGTGAAGTAAACTTATTTTTAATAAGTTAGTACTTTATATTTCAGGAAAAAATAAAGGTAATTATGTAACTTTTCTTTTCAGCTATCATAGACATGTGTATGGTCTTGGAGAGCATTATAACTCTGTTGTGCCTGCAGCCTGTTGATAGTTCTGATCCTCAGCTTCCAAAAAGAAAAAAAAGAAAAAAAATGTTCATTTTTGTGTTTTAACTGCATTTACATGTATATCTTATGTGATTTACTCTACTGGATTATCTGTGATTAAAGATGAATAAAGTTTTTGAGTATAATTTCTGTGTATTTCATAAATCATAGGTTTTGAATGAATTTCTTTTATAGTGTTAAAAAATGTCTTTCAAAGTATATTTCATAAATCATAGTTATTGAATGAATTTCTTTAAAGTATCAAATATATTGGGGGGGGGAAATGTGATCTTTTCAGGAAGCATATATTATAAATGCCAAAATATACTTGAAGTTATCTTATATAATTGTGGATTAAAAATGGAATAGTATTTAAGTATTTTGGTATGTTTTTCAGACGAGTTCTGAATCAGAATCTTCAGTTCATTTTTCTATCTTCATATTTCTGAACATTTCTCACCCTAAATCATAGAAAGCTAATCATTTTTATATTTCTAATAAATCTCGTGGAAATTAACTACAGTATTTACCTCTTGACTCTTTGTCACTTTAACCTTTTCATGACGGTGCACCTTAAGATGCTCGTGCGGGACGGAAGGAAATCGAATCAATCTTCAGTTCATTTTTCTATCTTCATATTTCTGACATTTCTCACCCTAAATCATAGAAAGCTAATCATTTTTATATTTCTAATAAATCTCGTGGAAATTAACTACAGTATTTACCTCTTGACTCTTTGTCACTTTAACCTTTTCATGACGGTGCACCTTAAGACGCTCGTGCGGGACGGAAGGAAATCGAAGGCATTCATCGTACAGGATGAAGGTTTTGCGTCGCTAAGCCTAGTTTTATAAAAAAAGTCAGAAAACAAAGTTACGCTTCTAGCATCGTAATTTTTGGTATAATTTTAGATTATTACTTGAGTTCTTACATATGTTAAAATTAGCACTTAATAACGTTTTTTTTCTTTATTTTACATGAAAATATTCATAAAAAAATTGCTTATCTTGTAAAATAATTTTCGGAAGCACTATCCAAATTATTCCAAAGATTTAATTGATAAAATCATCAATAATTTAAAATTAATAAAACAACATAAAAGACTACAGTAACACGCAACAAAATTTAAAATGAAGACTGAGTGTGGTAAATCTCTAAGCACAGAGAAGTATCACTTTCTAACTCTTAGAAAAAGTATCACTTTTAAACTCTTTAGAAAATGAATCATTACTCTCATTTGTGTTAGTAAATGGTTCACTAACCATACGAGGGTATTCTTCCTCTGATAAATAGCACCTTCCCGCCATAATAGACTGGAGGTGAGGCTTTCCTAAATAAAAAGAGAAGAAACAAAAATATATCTGAAGGCAATGCAAAGCGTAAAAAAACTCCGCGCAGTAACCTTTAAAGACCGTACATAGTAGAGGGAAAAAATAAAATAAAAAAGGGAATTGGATATAAATCAGACACGAGAATGTTTTCATTAGCACGCAGCGATTTAAAGAGCCCACCTCTGTTTAAGCTGTCGTATATTAGCAGTTCGTGTAAACTTTACAAAATAAAAATTCAAATCTTGATTCTCAGAGTGACAAAATGGCACAGCAGTTCAATTTTCTCATTGAAGTGTCATTATGTTATGCTTAGTAAAGTTTATATTTTTATAAATGTGTCTTTTCCTTGTTATGAAACCTCCACAATTTATTAACTTTTGATCTCATCAAGGTCTATATTCAAACTCTAAGCACACTTGAAATATTACTACAGTGAAATATGAAACCCATAGTTACTTTAAAGTGAATTATTATATAACTTTGCATATACTAAATTTAAAACAAAAATTAAGACTTGATTTTGAAAGGTTCAGTACATTGGTGCTCAGTTAAATACAAAGTGCATCATAAATCCATATGTGCTCTAGTTTGCTGTACGTACATGCATGGATTGTCACATATACATTTGAAAATACATCAGAGACAGGGCAAATCTGTTGAATTTTGAAACTGAAGCATGCAGATTATTGAAAAGAGCCCTACTTTATTTTTAAAGTAATCGTACATTTGTGAAGTATAAATTGAAGACCAGTTATGAAAAGGAAATTGCTAGTATTGTAGGTAGTGTATCTTTCATATAAAAGGAAGTAAACTTATTTTAATAAGTTAGTACTTTTATATTTCAGGAAAAATAAGGTACTATGTACTTTTCTTTCAGCTATCATAGACATGTGTATGTCTTGGAGAGCATTATACTCTGTTGTGCCTGCAGCCTGTTGATAGTTCTGATCCTCAGCTTCCCAAAAAGAAAAAAAGAAAAAAATGTTCATTTTTGTGTTTAACTGCATTTACATATATCTTATGTGATTTACTCTACTGGATTCTGTGATTAAAGATGAATAAAGTTTTGAGTATAATTTCTTTGTATTTCATAAATCATAGGTTTGAATGAATTTCTTTTATAGTGTTAAAAAATGCTTTCAAAGTATATTTCATAAATCATAGTTATTGAATGAATTTCTTTAAAGTATCAAATATTGGGGGGAAATGTGATCTTTTCAGGAAGCATATATTATAAATGCCAAAATATACTTGAAGTTATCTTATAATTGTGGATTAAAAATGGAATAGTATTTAAGTATTTTGGTATGTTTTTCAGACGAGTTCTGAATCAGAATCTTCAGTTCAACATTCTATCTGCATATTTGTGAGCATTTTTCACCCTAAATTATAGAAAGCTAATCATTTTTATATTTCAAATAAATCCCGTGGAAATTAACTACAGTATTCACTTTTTGACTCTTTGTCACTTTATTTAGCTGTTGAATACTTAACTTTAATGTATTCAATTTTATGAAGCCATTGCATTTTAGCCCTTTAAAGGGCACCAGTATATAAAATATACCGTATGTTTGTGAATTTTTAACCTCCTAAAAATGCTAATTTTTCTATTCGAAAAGCTGTAATCGTAAGTTTCCAGTATTTCCTTTTGTTTCTAAATAGCAGCACTACTCTATGAATGCTCAATATTTTGCAGTTATGAAATTAATATACGTCGTTCCAAGGTATCATCTTTGAAGATTCATAAATTCTATTGGAGGAGAAGAAAAAAATTCAAAATCTGCAAATATATGACATACATATGCTGAATCTTGTATATTTACTGCATTTCAGTCAGAAGTGATAATTAAAAGAAGATTGTTATGTGATTTTAAGACTGATATATAAAATATACTTGTGCCCATACTGAAAGTATCATGCCAATAGATGGCAGCACTAAGCTTCTCATTTTCAACTCTGTGAGATGATAGTTTCTTTGTAGAGTGTATGATGTAATAATTTTTTTTATGATTAATTTATGAGTTGTTTAGGATTAAATATTATGTTCATGGGGGGCATAGGTAGTTTACTGACCCTGTGCTAGGACTGAATACAAGTATATTAGTTTTGTTTTATTCTTTGTTTATTCCACTCAAGTTTCTTATTCGTCTAGGTTGAGCTAAAATTTTGATTTCAGCACTTCACCCTTTCTCAGGAGAAAAACTCATCGATTTCAAAACTGTCGCCTGGCGTCAAAACGTTACACAATTGTAGGGGTTAAATGTGACATGTTCATGTTTTCCAAAATCCTAAAATGTAGTGAAAATGAAAAGAAGCGATTGACAGCTAATTTGTCATTCAGGGATCATGTCATCTTCACAAAGGCTGTGATAACATCATACAAAGAGAAAGCTCACTTAAAAATATGGGAAATAGAAATGCACTTTAGCTCCATCTCTTAGTGGAATGGAGAAACTGCTGATTTGAAAACATGCTTTAATTCTGTAGCGTATTGTCTTTGTTAATTTCAGATGAGAGACTAGGGAACACAAGAAAAATCCCCCCCCCTGGGTTAGGATACAAATAGGTGGTTTTTGAAATGAATTTTCACAGTTGGTGAAAGGAGGGAAAATATTTCTAAGGCCAGTTTTAGTTGCAAACCAAAATTTATCCAAAAGATGAAAAAGGGCTGAAAATTGAAAAAAGTGCTTTGAGGTGTATCAGATAATAAAATTGTTTAACGGCGTTTCTTCCGGAACAAAATCGTATATTAAAGAAAAATTAAAAAGGGGCTCTAACAGGCTTCTATAGTCGAAAGTGTGTGTTTGTGGGGGGCGATTTTTGGTATCATAGCATGAAGCATGCTCTTTTTTATATATTATCTATCTAAAGCTTAAATGTATAATAACTTCAAAAAATGCAACATACTAAAGTTTTTGTCTTCAGACTTACTTAACTATATTCAAGCACCCATCTATGATCTAAACTATAGATGCACATCAAAAGTACACAAAATTAATTTAAAAAACAAAAATTAACACTTGGCAACTACCTGAAAAACAATATTCTTAGAGGGGCATTGGTATAAAATAGATACTGGCTCTCAAAATTTAGTATTTCGCTCTAGTTTTTTTTTTTTTTTTTTTTAAAGTCTCAGTTTTGTGTTCTTAGGGTCCATAAGTTACAATTCGTGCAAAATTTTACCACAGTTTAAATTATTTTGTATACCACCCCTCAAAGGATTAAAAAATTATTGTCCAGTCTTTATGATGTGTTAAAATGTTTGTAGAAAAGTATTTTGAATTTTTTTAATTTCATAAATGGGATCTTGTGAATTCCACTGATTTTTAGAATTTATTTCTCTTCATTGGCAGTAGAAGACAGATCTGATAAAAGATCCAACCTTATTTCATTCTGGCTATTAATGCTTCTTTGGGAAAAGGAAAACTCAAAACTTCCAGTATATTTTCAAATTAATGCTTGACAATTTTTTTTAGTAGTTATAATTGTTCAATGCTGAAGTATACTCTAGTGGCTGATTTATCAGCTAGAGTTATCATGCCTCAAAAAGGGGGCACCTAATTGAAATATTACAAGCACAAGTTCTAGCTACAAAGTCACGGGAGTTGCAGATATGTGCACATTCATTAAATAAAAGGTTGCATCAGTATGCAAATTGACAATTTTTACATACTGCCAGTGATGTCACAAAAGCAGGGAAGTTTCATACAGGTCTGTAGAATCGCAGGAACTGTGGATTTAAGTATTTATGAATTTGATAAGAAAATAACATAGATAAGAAGATTTTTATGTATATACAACTGAAAATAAATTTG